TATATATATATATATATATATGTTTTGGTTCCAGGGATTGAACTTGGGGTACTTGGCCACTGAGCCACATCTCAGTCCTATTTTGTATTTTATTTAAAAATAGGATCTCACTGAGTTGCGTAGTGTCTGGTGATGGCTGAGGCTGGGTAGATTATATTTTTAAAGTAGCAGCTATTATTATCCATATAAATTCAAAATGTTATTAGGAAGCTACTTAGCTCTAATTTCAGTGCTTCAGTCTACTCTGCATTGGTCTTGGCGATGGTCTTGCTTATCTCTGAGTCTTGTGAGGATGTGAGGTGGATCTTGAGACAAAGCAAGTGCATCTTCAGGTTAGTTCCCTTGACGTATTCTTTGGTTGTTCCAAGACACAATTGCCTTTTTAAGTCATTCCATTTTGAAAGTCAATAGTTAAGGCGATTCCCTGGAGTTTTCTGGTTCATAGTTTCCTGCCCTTAAAACAGTTCTTTCTCTGCAGACGCCCTGCTTGTACCACAAATGATCAATTCCATTTTCAGTGTCAGTTTTCAATTTTTTGTTCTTTGCTGTTTTGTTAACCTTCAGTGTGATATATTACCTCCAAGTCACCAGTCCCCATGTGTGCTACATTTTATCTCATCTACGTTTATCTAAATATTATTTAAGCCAAGACCCTCCCAAGTTATACTGCTATCTCCCCTTGCCAGTTTTCATTGTTCTTAAGAGTTAGTAACATGCCATTTAGCCCTTTAATATTTCCTAGTGTGTTGCTCAAGATAGCAATTGGAAAGTTAGGGTTATATCTTGGAGAAACTTTGTAGTTCATATCTCAGGTTCCTAGGTACATATATTATCAGTATCCATTGTCAAAGTATAAAATAGGTATTTTAAAAGGAAACAATGGTGGGCTATGGGCTATGGATTCCCCCCCCCCATTAGAACTAGAAATATAATTTATTGAATTTGCTTTCTCTCTTTTTCCCCTCTCTACTTGTTTGAATTCTGCTATGTGAAACATATTTTTGATAGAATGTAAATGATAAATATAAATGAAGCAACTTTTATAAACTACTTTTGCCCTCAGGTCAGAGAAATGGGGTAATTTGCCTACTTTGACAAAAGAGATCACTACTCTTTAGTTTTAAAGTTTCTGCTTAAAATTTATCGGCATTAAACCTGATGTTTCCAGTGATGGCTTTTTCTGATTTTATCATGTTTTTTCCTATTGTACCTATTAGAGGACTGACACATTTCTCTTTCTTTCCATTAAGAAAGGACAACAGAATTATTTAAGTGCTAACAGGTATTTACAGAGATGCACGCATATTTGTCTAGATGTTTTTTTTTTAATTAAACACAGGGTTTGAAGAGAAACTAGTATACAGACTTTAGTCAAACAAGTAGCATGAGAACAGAAAATATCAGTTATTCTTTACAAAGTCAGAATATCTCCTGTATTCCCCAAAGTGTGTTATTAATTCTCTTGGCGTGTTACACAGCAAAATGAAAGTTTTATGAATGTGCCTACTTCTTTTAACAAGTTCCAATAACTGCTTCCTAAACCTGGTGTTTTTATATCAATTACATACAGTAAGCACTGAAATCAACCAAAGAGAACTGCAAGGCCAACTTGAGATATTCATGTTAAATGAGGACTGTGGCCTGCCAAAAGTAAAATGTGGATATAATTTTATAACACCATTTTATAATTAAAGTCATAAGTGAGGTTTCCTGCTATTGTTTAAAAATGTGTCATGATAAATTT